CGATATCAACAGTCTTGCACGTATTGCCAAACAGTTCCGTAAACAGATTTGACTTGGTTAATTTCCTCTACCATACGTCCAATGAATACAGTTCCAGGACGTGCTTTTTCTAACTGGCCACTGACATCCCGCGATGCGTTGTTTCCAACCATTTGACACTGCCATAGTGGACAGACATTATTCCTCTTAACCGCTCAGAACCAATGGCATTTCCATTTTGCAAATACCCGAACATGTTTGTAAGCATGGCTGCTGTTCTAGAGTTATCATAAGTTAGCAATGTGTGCTTCGCAAGTTGTGTGGCCCTCACTGATCTCGTTAGCTTATCAGGAATTAATGGAATATATAATCAACGGCAATACAAACTGCAGTGCGGTGCAAGCGCATACATTCTAAGTGTTTCGCACCGATAGCTAATGTGAGAATTAATCTTTGGTATTGTCATGTTTGACCTTACAAGCGAACGGTCGGTAATCGCCGTTCTAATACGTTAGCCTACAGCTTGGAATCTATGATTACCGCAACGATCGAGCTAGGAAGCAAGTTATGCGACGAAACAGTGGGCGCTTGATTGGAGGATTCATTTGACTGCTTTCGTTGTGTGAATAGATTGCGATGTGTAATTTAACTCAGCGCCTCGCCCTGAAGCTGGTGATTATTGGGATTCATGTCATCATTGGCAAAATTGACATAAATGAGTTATTAAGGGACTCACTGCTGCAATCCGTTGACGGCTGCTTGCTTCGTTAGTAATTAATACGCCAGCTTCTCACACATGGATAAGAAAACCCAAGAGAATTTTCCCAAGGCTCTACATCAGAGGAACCCAACTTCGAGCATATGTGCTGTTGACGAAATTCCGATATTCTGGAGAACGACCACCCTCAAACCCAACCGATCTTTACTGCTCGCCACATGCAGACAAAACGAAATACTTTCTTATCGCTTGCAGTCTTGTACAGTAATTCTTGATACACGCTGTAAGAGGCACAACGATATGGTGAAGGAACTAACAAACACCGTTCGTTGCAAAGCAGCCCAAATCATCCCGGTTCCCCGTATCTCAAGAGCCTCAACCTATATCAAACTGCAGTTATTTGCTATTTCAAACTACACAACAAACACGTGGTGACATGCGATACCTTCAGAGTGGCCAGTAGCTACAAACAAAAAATTGCGAAACAGGGTGTGGTTGCTCCTACGGAAGCCGTACCTCACTTTGTGCATCCGGAATGCCCTACGCTATTAAATATCATGCATCACCCAATAATCGGCAATAACTGGGAGTATATATTCCCAGCCTCTGCCAAGCACATTTCGGCAATGGCAATCACCTAACTTGATTTACCCGACTTGTGTGTGTCTACCAAATGAGAATCCCTTAAGCTGTGCCACACCTGTGTGCTGGATACACTGTCATGAAACATCTCACATCAACAAGGTAAACCCACACATTCTCGCTTGGTCCCGACCATCGTTTTGCATTTAACGTAATTACTGTTTCAATCTTAGGCCATTTGTCCAATCTTGGCGAATTCATGTAATGGTCAGGCCTATGGCCATGCGTAAATGTACCATGATTTGCACTGAGATGGGCCTTAGTCAATTCGATCACTGGGGCCGTAAATGGTGAAGCACATGGCTACTGGACGTTATTCGTAGAGTTTTCGAGTGGGCAAAATCTGATAACCAACTAGTACATAACTCATCACGTCCTTACCTTGTTTATCACATTTACATGAGTCAAGTTCTGATAAGGCTGAGTTTACACATGAATGAAAGAAATATTTCGACCTGTCCAATTCAATGGAGCACAGTGCCGACCACAACGAGACACTTGTGAGGTGACGCGCCCAAAAGAAAAAGTGACCTCGGAAGTGAATAACATAATGAGAAATATTCCCTTACAGACGTCAGTTCCAAAATCTGAGGCGCTGGCAAAGAGAAATTGCTCAGCGAATAAGGAATTACTGTACCAGGAAAGTTCATCCATGTCTGTTCTTTGCTTTTAAAGAACATACTACCAGCATAAATCGGTGTCTGTACCAACCGCAGCTTGAGCAAACTGCGCTCATTGCATTGATACTGCATTTAACATTGTCAGTGACCTGTTTTAACACTCGCTTGGGCCATTGCAAGGTTGTTACATCTGAGAGCGTACTATCGTACAATAAGTGACCCCACCCCGTTGGAACCCTGTTTTGATTGATCACGCATGAAACCCACTAATATGTGTACCATAGCTTGTGTCTGTTCACCTCACAAGTTTGTGCCACAATATTGGGATGGGTTCGATCCCTTGAAGCACTCGTCATATAAAACACCACTAGTCCATTAATGTGTGTTTTGAGCTATAATTGGAATAAATTGCAGGTTGTTAGTCCGGAATCGCGCTAGAAGCGCAAATTGTTGAGGATCATACATTTTGTCATTACTAAATGTGTGTTTTGCAATGGCAATTGCTCCCTTTTCCCGACGTTTCAACTGAATCGTTATTATGTTTTATGTTCAACATCTTTATTTTGCTCAGAGCCTAATTAGTTCAGCCTTTACTAAAGCTACGAAGAAAAGAATAGCGTGTACCGAGTGTCGCGTGTTCGTTGCTTTTTTCTCAGTCTTCCTTCTGACCAAAACCTATTGTGCATAGTGACTATGGGGCCCAGGATGATCGTTGTGCTAGTTATCCTGCTCGTGATGTTCAAATTTTCCATTAACCCAGCCCGCGATTTTTATTTTCCAGTAATCTGGCCCGCGCCAGTCAGTTATTCTAGTAATCCGGCTTGCCGTGAAAGATGTCTGGTGACGCATAATCCATTTCATCGAAAACTGATGTGCACTTTACATTGAGTCGATTGTGTGTCCTTCATGCGCCTATTCTGCTCTGAATCAGGGCGAAAATTTTGCCACTGCTTTGGGCGGAAAAACTTATTGCTACGCCACTCCATACAAAGCTGGATTAACTTCATAATAGGCTTCTTTCACTTAGCTTGAATTATCCCGTACACCGATTAGCGCGTACTACATGGCAGAATTCGCTAAAATGGTATTTCTAAAGGTGAAATTATACTGTTTCAACTATTTTTATTATTTACTTTTGATGAGGCAATGAAGGCGGAAATGTTTGTTTTCTCCAGTAGCCCAATCATGGCTTCCAGTATAAACAAGTATGCGTTTATTGGCTTTACAGAACTTCATGGCTAGATTTTCGAACTGGAAACTATGCATCACGAAAATCGGTAACAATAAAGGCGGCCTGCTGAAGAAACCCAGGAGTACGCAGACGAAACGATAGATGGAGTATTTTGAAATAAGTGGACAGCCGAGACCGATATGGTGAGGGGTTATCAGTTTAAGTTGTTCGCGGAGTACAGTGGGTAGGATCATCTTCAGCACTTTTTCCAATTGTGTTAACCGTCGAGCGACCTACGAAATTCTGACTTTTATATGATTTCGTTATCCACAATTAGAAAACGGGCTGCTAGCGTTAGGCGTCATACACATTTCGCGAGCGAACTTCTATTCATCGGCCACGACGTTGCGCCCACAAGCCCTCCCAAATTATCAGAGGCAAACGGACTTGCATCTTCGCAATGCGAATATTATGGTGCACTTGCTGATGCTCAGTCGAAGTTGCGAATGTATTTGTTCTCTATCTTATCTATCCCACCCTGTTCATCTTACGAATTTAGACAACCTTTAGCTTGTTGTCGGTAATGGACCATTAGATTTCCGTTCAACCGACTTGAGCTGATATTTCATGGGACCAGTGACACGGGAATCATAATTTCTTTATCCGACTCGGAAGATGAACCGGAGAATACTTTCGGACATAAATTGCAGAATCACGTACAAAGTTCCACCTTTCACTCTCCTGCTTGTCAACTGATTTGGTGGCCATGTCAAGACAAAATCGAGTTCTTCCTGCAAAAGTAAACCACGATGTCTAAAACCTCATGTGAAGCAAATCAGCTGTAAAAGGATGTAATAATTTGTAATAATCAGATTATTAGTTGTCGAGGCACAGAGTCGTGGGGTTGACAACTAAATCTTGATGCTTAAGGAAACCGACTGCATGGCAATGACAACATTCGCACTGCAAGTGTTAGTGATGGAATATTTGGATACCTAATTACTCTGGGCTTTAAGCATAATAAAACGCCAGGGGTAACGGTGTAGTGCACGGATTAGCGCCAAAACATTTAAGCTGAAAGTAATTAAAAACATCATTCCATTCGCGTGATGTTAACAACACGGAGTTAAATTCCCATTGCTTCAAGTTTCATCAGAATCGCTCGATTCACCTCAAATTACACCCAGCGCGATTTACCTCAATACCCTAGGTAGATGATACACACAATCCTGATCCATCTGTGCTGCTTGGTCTCCTAAGTGGGTAGATAGCGCAGTAAGATAAAGTGTTAATGAGCACCCTATCATCATACTAACAGTTAAAAAATTGATGGTAATCTGCTTGATTACAGTTCTGTGTTGTTGGGCGTTATCTTCTCTTGCTGCCTTAGATTTGTCCACAGAGCATCTCATTTTCGTTGAAGTAGAATGAAACACGCTGCCGGCTTTAATAACCCAACACATCAGTATTCGACAAGACCCAAGGTGGGCGCAGTTGCCCTAACAGTTGTGCAAATGCGCTGACACTCGCACAAGTGTTGTAAACTAATCATATTCTGTGCACTTTATAACCTTTCATGAGACGCATTGGTAAAGCTAAAGACATAATGGCACAGGGGTTTACTAATTCACTGGTGAAAAATCTGACGACAATTGTTTCGTCTTCCCGTACTACCCGCTGCCTCTGCTGGATCGTAGGTGGACCTATTGCTGCACATAGCAAACCGAGACACATGGTTACGTAGTCACTGCGAACGCCGTTTACGACGCAATACACAATCAAATACAGAAAGCGGTGAGCTCTACTCATGAGCTAGATCCGTTTTAGTTCTCAGGCTCAAAATATATCCATTTTTCAAGTGTGCACTTACTCAGCGAAAGAACAAAACACTGGGCAATAATTTCCATCAGTATACAGATATTCCGTAAGCTGTTGTATTCTAAGAGGTAAGATTCCGTATTTTCAAGAGGATTTAGCGGTATGCACGTAATCTCCTGCGCTGTGATGATACCGCCAAGTTCAAAACCGATTTGTACTCGGACTTTCAGGTGGCAGATCACTTATTTTCCAACGTCTGAATATTGCAAACCCACCAATCAGGCGGAAACGACTGTAAACCAACTTACCCGTTGTAACCAATCAGGAGATACCTTTACTTTCTCTGCACTGAAATTCTTATCTCAGACAATTGATCACAAGCTTCCTTTGTGTAGTCTCGAGAGTGATGTTGCAATGCTGTCTCACTGAATCTGCCTCTTGACAAATTACCCCGGATACAAGATGAACGGAAATTTCTTACTTTTGGTAGACTGAGAGAAAGTGGGGTTTACCTTACGAAGCGCCTTGGGGCTGTGGCGAACATTCTCATTTCTCACTCACATATACAGGACGAAAATAAGTGGGCGGTAACAAATAGAAAATACGGAATCACGCGTAGAGGAGAAAATACACGAAATAACCAGACTGTCAATGGAAAAGATAGTACTGTGATAAAATTTGCAGTGCTACACAGGTTCAGCCGGGGCACTGAATTCTCCGTGTACATATTGATGACAGCTTTTTTGATTGTTCAATGGTAAAACAAGCGGATGCTCAAGTATTAAATTGAAAACATCATAAGCACTATTTCGTGAGGGAATTTGTATGAGTTTTGCTGTGAAGTGACCAGTTGCAAAAGCGATCACATATACCACGCGGTCATACTATAAGGTAATTATACATGGATATGAAAGTGACACCAAGGCTTCGAGGTGTGAGCTTCCAGTTTGACAGATCCACTGTGAATAGTAAAATGGTAAAAAAGTAGCATTAATACATTTTCATATTTGCTCTGGTGTACCGGGATACGAGGGTCGTTCAATAAAGCTTGCCACTGACGAACTTCCCATATCTCAAGCATAATACAACTTCACGCAGTTATTAGTCATTCTTCACATATTTGCTACTCTGGTTAACACATTTCTTCCCCCGTTTTATGCATGCGAATAGAACATGTTTATATAAATCCCCAGCTTGGGCCAAGTGCTACGACCTGACCTCAAAAAGCAAACTGTCGTCATCAGAAAAGTGCTTCTGCTTTAGAGAAGACAAAGATTGAAAAGAAGCAAAAGTCACATGGTACAAAGTCTGGAGAGTATGGAGGATGAGGATGAGTATTTCTTAGCCACTGGACAACGCTTCTGTCCGGGCTACATTTGTGTTATAAGCAGAGACCTTGTCATGGAAGAGCAAGACAGGTCTGGTTATGATGCAACGCTTTTCTTTCATTAGAACCATCCTTAGTTGATGCAACATTGAAACCTAGTGTGTTCTGATAATATCGAACGCTTTGAGAAGGAAATCCATTATCACGACTCAATGAGTATTCTTATGAGAAAATGGATGCTTGGAGATGTACGCCATTTGTACTGTCTGCATATCACTACTCCAGTGACTACAGATGATTTATATATCGTCAGTGGGTGTTTCCGAGCCAACCACATGCACTGGGGTAAGATCTAGAACGATGATAACCAAAGAAGAACAAACACTTGTTTTCACACAGCCATCGAGAAGTAACCACGTTAAATTTTCCTATGTATTTTTATGCTAACTTAAGCAACCTCACGAAATCCCCTGTATCATCTACAATTTGAACTTGGTCCCCTCGGTCACTGAAACGAGATGGCCCATTGACGTTCTTGCGCTTGTCCTTTGTCTTGAAGTCGAGAACACCGGAGCTGCTAAGCTAATAGAGGTCATAGTTGACAGCTATGGGACAAAGCGCGTTCTATGTGAATAATTATTTTCGCTAATTGTAATTAGCACAGCGTTTGTAGGATGCGCTGTGTGATCTCACGTATGCTTCAAAGTATTAGAATTGACTCCTTCAATCTTGTTTTGCACCAGGATTGACTTTGGATTAGAATCACTTTCCGTTCCAACACTGAGAGTACGTGTCATATGAAGATTTCACCAGTGTTGCTTTATTTGTAACTTGCATTCCATGCGAAGTGGTCACGTACGATGCTATGGTAAGCGGATCTCACCAGTTCACTAAAATGACGATGCCCAGTAGTACTTGCTAGAGAACTTCCAGAACAGGTAAACGAACCGGATCGCGAAGTTTTTACTAACAATTCGGGGCTGACTTACTGACATCATGATTATTTACAGTATGTTCGGCAAATTCTGTCAATACTTCTAAGAACTGTGCAACGGAAAAAGTCCGCTAATTCAATCAGCTGAGCGTAAACGACCAAAAACTTCAAACGAATCGGCTGTGCCTGAAGAAAGTACGCTTTATAGAAAGAAAATTATATGAATGGATAAGCATACTCTAATTCTTCTGACACCAGTGAGTTCTTCCTTGTTAACCACCAACATTTGAACATATGTATAGATTTCTATGCGAGAGTATTAAACCTTTTCAATATTCCGAATCTGAATCTGCGACGGAACGGATTTCTGGATAGTTGAAAAACATACAAGTTATTTATTTCACAAGTGGGTTCTTTCGACGTCACAGGGCCGGACTCACTCGGCTGCTGACAGTAGCCACAGCGGAATGAAGCAAGCTGGGACAAGTGCGAAATGGTAAAATTTTGTATGCTTAACCATGCTCTGTCAACTGATAGCTAACGGGTTGATTTTTACCAATTGTGAAAACGGGTGGCCTGCGTGTGCCAAAACTCCATTATACGAGAAGTCAGGGTTCAATGGTTACTGACCACGCAACTGGCTCCACAGCTGCCTACGGACTGATGCACACGATATACGCTAATCCTGATTGACTGATTACACCATGTGACAAATAACTTTTTTTCTGTTCCTGGGTTCAAAGTGTTTTTTACTTCCCTGTGTTTCGGATGGATAGAAATGACATATGTTCCGCAAAACGTTTGCTTTTGTGGTTAGGACAATGATTTCTTGTAAGTTATATATTTTAATAAACTTTCGCTCTCCATTCACTTTCCATGTTGCAGGAAAAATTATCTGGATATGTGAACTTACAGCAGAACCGGGATTTTTTCAGATTTCCTTACGAGTGCGGGAAATCTTTAGAACATTCTAGATTCGGCAGGAAAATGTTGTAGCTAAAATAAAGGTATGAAGGCACTGCCTTAAAAGCAGCATTCCCTTCTATGTTGTTGCCAAGTAATGGTGTAGAGGATAGCAATGTAGTCATTTCAGATATCCTCCAGCTTTTGTACGTACCCAATATATGCCATGTATTGCATTTTTGGACATTTTACTAAAACGATGGCACAAACGTACGCCACGGAAACATTTGTAAAATTAGACATATTTCATCACCGTCGACTCTTAGTCCGCAGGCCTCGGCTAGACTTGAAAAAGCACCAGACACCGGTGTTTCAACTTTCTGGGTCTCGTCAGTGGTGCGCCTACCAGCGAACCCATGCCGGGTTCCGTCCCCATAACTTCCAGCTGCCGGCAGCTAGGGCCACTTCGCCATACGTGACAGCCTCGGACCTGCGTGATTGATAGTTGACTGAGATATGGCCCGGCTCATCTGTAGTGGTGGGAGACCAATAATCTCTACATCGGGATTCTTGTCGGTGTGCATGACAAGTCATGGTCACCACCTATGATATGGGAACGTTGCACGAAAACTTGAAATTAGGGTGGATAATAAGAATAATGTGTATATTTCTAATTTGAGAAGCTGTGTACGTAGTTGACACGGAGCATTTATGCATGAAAGCATGCATAACCACAGTGGGCGACCTGTGGCACCACATTCGCGGCCACGTGACAGCTGCTGCCGAGGAGACCATCGAGTGCGCAATATGCAAGCAGCCTGATTGGTTTAATGAGAACAATGCGACGATTGGCGAATTGCTGTCTGAGAAGAATGCAGCGTTTGTTACACAGGTGGCAGACCTAAATTACTTGGGGCAGAAGAGAAAGTTTGGTGGAATCCGACGACGACTGACCAGGGAAATTCGTCGCATTAACAATGCATGTTGGACGGAGTAGGCGAAGCAGATGGAATGCTATGCAGAAAGCCGCCAACACAAGGAATTCTTTGACTCCTTGAAGCTGGTTTACAGACCGAGGTTGTCGCCGCTGAGGACGCTCATTGATGGTAGTTCAGGCTCTGCCTGCACACGGACCGAAGATATTATGTAGATTTGGCAAAACACTTTGACTGACTTGGACAACCGTTCAGAGACCGACTGGTCTAATTTGCACGCCCTGAATTAGCGCGATGTGTAGGCGAGGCTGCCGAACACGCCGACACTGCATGAGACGCAGGGAGCACTTGTTCAGCTGCGAAACGGCAAGTGTGCCGAGGCCGACGGGATCCCGTCTGAAGTATTGAAACACGGCGGACCCGCGTTGATGACTGCGCGGCACCATTTGGTGCAACGCTTGTGGATTGAGGAGGAGGTTCCTTCTGAGCTGAAGAATGCCCTTGTGCTACCAGTGTACAGAGGCAAATGGAGCAAGCAATGCTGCACGATTTATCGTGGCATCAACTTGTTGAGTTGTGTGGGAAAGGTGATTACCTGAATCCTGCTCAATCGCCTCGTCAGTCAGGTTGTGGAACCTAACGTGGCGGAAGAGCAGTGTGGATTCCGTACGGGCCATAGCATCATTAATATGGTGTTCGTGGCTCGTCAGTTGCAGGAGAAGTGTAGAGAACGACACCAGCCGCTGTACTCGCTTTTTGTTGATTTCACTAAGGCATTTGATACGATGAACCTCGTGGCATTGTGGCTGGTGTTGGGTAAGTTTGTTTGCCTGTATAAGTTTGTAAGTTTAATTGAATGTCTGCACAGCGGTATGTGAGCGAAGGTGCAGCTGAGTGGAGAGACCTCGGATGACTTTGCAGTTTTCACTGGTGAGAAGCAAGGCTGTGTCTTAGCTCCTGCCCTGTTTAATATTTATCTCCATGTAATGATGTCTTGTGCTTTTGATGCAGCTTATGCTTACAGTGTTATGGTGGAGCACCATATTGAAGATGGGTTGCTGAACCTCCGTCGTTTGGGTGCGAGAACCCTAGTCTGTGAGACAACTATCCGTATGTTGT